TATCAAGTGACAGTGGTGTGTCTGTGCTATGATGACCTCATCAAGTGACAGTGGTGTGTCTGTGCTATGATGACCTCATCAAGTGACAGTGGTGTGTCTGTGCTATGATGACCTCATCAAGTGACAGTGGTGTGTCTGTGCTATGATGACCTCATCAAGTGACAGTGGTGTGTCTGTGCTATGATGACCTCATCAAGTGACAGTGGTGTGTCTGTGCTATGATGACCTCATCAAGTGACAGTGGTGTGCATGCAGTATATTACTATTGTCCTTATTTGATATCACATTATTATGAGACCACCCTCTGCACGAAGCTCTGGGTCAGCGGCTGATAAAAGGGAGGTCATGGATGGCTCAGGCAGAAGACACAATCAGACAGGTTTGCATTCTTGAGAACATTAGGCGAGGAGAGGCGTGGGTCAAAGTGCCACCTGAGAAGTCAGACTTGTGTAGAGTCATAATCACGCTGAGCCGGGAATGCAGAGACTGGCCAGCAGGTGCCACAGAGGTGGAAATTCAGCAGTTAATTCAAGATAGTGCTCGCTCAGAGGATCTGATCATTTATACAGACGGTTCAGTGTCAAGAGGCAAAAGAAGTGCTTGGGGCTTCTTAGCAAAAGTTAATGGTCGACGTTTGGTGCAGGAGAGCCTAGCATATGATACCACAACATCCAGCTTAAGAATGGAGGTGGAGGCGGTCACTGCAGCTTTCCGCTGGCTAGAGAACACGACACACACACATTGTGATTGTAACTGACTCAGAAAGCATGCTTAGGAAGATCAGAACAGGTATGCTTCATGCAGAGTGGCATGCTTTGCTGCGGAGGACACGGGTGAGGAGTATTGTCTGGATTTTTTCACCGGGTCACGCTGGTGTGTTGGAAAATGAACATTCGGACAGACTGGCTGGCTCTGCACAACTTGGTGGAATACTGCTACATGATAGGGCAGATGTGGTTAGTGCCTTGTGGGAGAGCGTGTACAATTCGGAGGAGCAGATGGATCACCACAGTCTGGTGAGATTGATGCAGTTGGTAGTGACGAGAGGTTCTGGCAGATGCTCGAGGCTCAGAAGAAAGGCAAGACAGACGTTTAATCAGAAAGCTACTGGCACCATTAGTATCCGGAACGCTTCGCTGGCTGCTGAAGATGGGGACGGAGCGCTTATGGAAATGCCCCGAGTGCTGTGATGACGGTTCTCGAATCAAATCACATTATTGAAGATTATTCAAACAGCCTTCAAATGAAAGCTCTTTGTTATCATATTGGATGGAAATATGCAGATATTTAAGACTTTTTTTTAAACACCTTATAATGTGGAAAACCCTCCCCCCTCCCCCATTTGTTTTTTGTTATAACTAGTACACACAGAAGAAGGTTAAATGACAGAGCTGAAACAATCTGACAATATTTCTGTATTTTTTAATGTGTAGACATTTGCTTTCTTTTGAGAAAAACAATTAAAATAGAAATAATCATTATCTGAACATAATTTTGTTTTTACATGATTGTGTATCACATGTGAAGTCTGTAAATGGAATCCTCAAGTAAAAGTCTGCTAATTAAACAACAGTTACCAACACAAAGTCAAGAAAATGACGGGGGTGGGAACATTTAAAAGCTACACCTGCAGGAAAGAACACACAGGACAACCAATTATTCTGCGCTTGGAAGATAACACACAGATATAGCTAATATTCCACCAACTGTGCCACACACAAGAATACACACAAGTATACTTAATATTCAATCAACCATTCCACACTTGGAACGCACAAGTACACTAACATTCCACCAATTTTTCCACACTCAGAACATAAACAAGTATAGGATATATTCCACCGCTCCACACTCAAAACACACAAGTATACATACAATATTTCACTAACTGTTCCACTCAGATCAACATATTTAAGTTTAGCTTACATTAACACGGGAGTCCTCGTGGCGGAACGGCTAGAAGCTCATCGCGGATCGGAAGGCCTTGGGTTCGCACCCTGGAAGAGCCGGACTTTTTCAAAAATGACCTTGGCTATGAGGTCAACCCAGCCTTGAGTGGGTACCGGGTGCAGTCTCGGGAAGTTTGGGCGGCCGGCGCGATGCTGACCACATCACCCATATTGTACCGATTGGTCTATACAAAATATAGGTCTAGCCCTATATGCCTAAAGGCATACTTTACATTAACATTTTACTCAGAAGAGACCAATATTAACATACCAACTATTTCATACACAAAATAATAGCACTCCAAATGTCCCTCTTAGGGGGAAGTGGGTCATGTCTAGCAATACAGCTCTCCAGTCAGTATACCCAATGTGGGGATACATTTATATAGTTGAAATTCTTGAGATCAGTGCTTCTCACTTGACCAAGGCCTGCAGATCCCTCTTATTTTGAAGTTTTGCCATGGACGCCAGACTCTTTGACTCACACCGAGGAAATTATAATTGATAAATATTAGAATTACAAAAAGACTGCATTCTAAAACTGAAGGTTTCAGTGTGTACATATCATGGACTCCTTAAATTTGCTCCACAGACTTCTGGTATTCGGACCACAAAATAGGAATGCTGCTCTAGACAGACTACATTGAAGCTATTGAGCTCCATTTGCTCATATATGGAATTTGTTTCCTGACAATTTTGCCAGGGCAGTTTTCTTTCAGTATCAAAGTCACATATGATGAGTTGTCTGGTAGTGAAACACATTAAGCCCAGTTTGTGGTGACTTTCAACAGCAGTGGCATTTTCAATCTGTGCAACTCTTCATACTGGACAACTTTGCTTTTTCTTTAAATCTTCTTTTTCTTCTTGGCATAAACTAGCTGTAGACTTCAGCAGAAAGTCCTGGTTGTTCATCCACTTCTGGACTTTGGTTTTGTTGCAGGAGTTCACATCTATTTGCTTATTTGTAGGCAAACTATCGATTCTTTGATTCTCAAGCAGATGTGCTCCGACTTTGAAGGAAATGTCCAAACTATGTATGTTGGCCAGGCTGCCTGTTTCTAGGATGACCATGCAGAGTTGTAGAGAAGTCTTGATGTCAGCCCTGCTCCTGCTGCACACCACATGTGGTTCATCACCCCTGCATCCTTCAGTTATCTGAGAAGGCTGGCTATTCAATCATCAGATCAAAGGGATCCTCATGTTGCTTTCTTGGTCCAGTGTTATTGACTGAGGATCATGGGAATGTCAGATAGTAAACGTCTCCAGCTCACTACCATCACCAATGACTTGCTGGTCTGTCTATCAATAGCACTATAATCTTGGTATTCTTTTTTGCTGAATGTTAGTCTCAATTCACAATAGGCATTGCCAAATGCAGATAGTAAATGTTGCAGTTCTTTCTCTTAGTGGGATGTAACTGCAGCTTCATCTGCAAAAAGCAATTTCTGATGAGTATATCTAATCGTGGCCTTGGCTTTCAGCCTATCAGCATTGTAAAGGCCCCCATGTGAACAAGAAGGAATGAATATACCACCTTCTTTATCTCAAAAGACGTATTTAAAAAGAATATCAGTAGACACCTATGGTTTTCAAATAACTTTCCCATCCTTATTCTGGGATTTAAACCAGGTACTTCTGAATGTCAGACAGCATATTCTGTTGGTCAGAATAAAATGACTAATTTGTTATCAGAACATGACCTGTTACCCTTACAGGCTGGGTCACACTGGCAACCAATAGAAATTGTCAAATAAATCTCTATCAATGCAGATTTGAACCCAAGAACTTTGGACCAGCTGGCAAGCATCTGGCCAGAGAGATGCCATTATATATTATATCTACAAATACACACATATTGATATAAATTTCAACAGAATTTCATTATATGCTCTTCATTTGTACTGGATTGCACATTGTCGCTAAATAACTGACTGCATTTTAACATGGACATTTCACTCAGTACCAAGTGACCCTACCAAGCATTAGTTGGTTTTAACGCTGTGATATTCTTCACTCTGTGTGACCTGCCTATACATCACTCTGTGTGACCTGCCTATACTTCACTCTGTGTGACCTGCCTATACTTCACTCTGTGTGACCTGCCTATACTTCACTCTGTGTGACCTGCCTATACTTCACTCTGTGTGACCTGCCTATACATCACTCTGTGTGACCTGCCTATACTTCACTCTGTGTGACCTGCCTATACATCACTCTGTGTGACCTGCCTATACTTCACTCTGTGTGACCTGCCTATACTTCACTCTGTGTGACCTGCCTATACTTCACTCTGTGTGACCTGCCTATACTTCACTCTGTGTGACCTGCCTATACTTCACTCTGTGTGACCTGCCTATACTTCACTCTGTGTGACCTGCCTATACTTCACTCTGTGTGACCTGCCTATACTTCACTCTGTGTGACCTGCCTATACTTCACTCTGTGTGACCTGCCTATACTTCACTCTGTGTGACCTGCCTATACTTCACTCTGTGTGACCTGTCTATACATCACCCTGTGTGACCTGCCTATACATCACTGTGTGACCTGCCTATACTTCACTGTGTGACCTGCCTATACTTCACTCTGTGTGGCCTGCCTATACTTCACTCTGTGTGACCTGCCTATACTTCACTCTGCCAAAAGTGTTATTTTAACTCCATCTGTGAAATAATTTATTGAAATATTTTTGCCCAAGCATTTCATTAGTTAAAACAACAAGATGAAGTCATAACTTCTTAGAATAGAATCAGCTGCAGTAATAATTTTTAGAATAGAGGGAATAACAGTAATAACTTCCTTAAACAGGTTGCTTAGTACAGGCGGAGTTTTAGTCAAAGCTTCTTACAAGAGAATGAATTAAAGCAATAACTTAGACTAGAATGAGTTAAAGTAATATTGTTTTAACTTTTAAAGGTGAATTTAAAAAAAATAGGACAGAATGAGCTAGGGTAACACTTGCTAGGCACAGAAAGCGCTTGACAGTTCAGCAGAAGAAAACACAAGTACAGCATGAGTATTGCACCTATCGGGTAAACATATCAACACTCTTCAGTCAGTCATATCTGAGGACTCATCAATGAGCACTGCACTCTGGCCTTTTTCACAGTCAGCATCTGAAGATGACATCAGAATTGGGTCTGTAGACCCAAAACAAATATGCATTACTCTTTTCTGAAAAGACTGACAGGTTATGTTACATTTGAGAGAATCAACACTATTGCCCTAGATTATTCCATATGGCTGGGTTTCTATCTGCAGTGTGGCTAGCTGCTCACCAAAAGTCACAGGAAGCATGAACTCCACAGCTTCAGTGATGATCCCCTGGGTTCAATGAATCATCAAAACTTGCAAACCAAGTCAGTCTCTGAAATCAAACCTAGTCTTTACAATGCAGAGATAAATAGTCAAACCACTTGACCATAAACCATATGCATATAAAATGTCTATTTTCTATGTATCAGTCATAGCATCATGGTCATGTACCATACTTCCCAAAGTGCAGTGAGAATACAAATGGGCATTTCTGCATGATTCCTAGCCACATTCCCCAACTGTTTTCATGGGTTTTCAAGTTTTTTTTTTTTTTTTTTTAAAGGTATTTTGCCTGGTTCGAGGATGTAGTGGGCATATTTGTTACTACATGTGCGGCTACACACACACACACACACACACAGATCAAGTGTTTTTTCTTTTTCTCTCTAGACTTGGCGGAGGGGAGCAAACTGAAATCTTGCCTGCTCTAGACCAGGTACAGAGTCATACAGACAGTGATGAGGGGATGGAGACAGTGATGAGGGGATGGAGACAGTGATGAGGGGATGGAGACAGTGATGAGGGGATGGAGACAGTGATGAGGGGATGGAGACAGTGATGAGGGGATGGATACAGTGATGAGGGGATGGAGACAGATGATGTGCGAGAGACAGAGGACGTAAACAGAGAAAGAGGGAAAGTCTGGTAGTCTTAGTTTCAGCTTCATAGCAAACAGGTCACCCCATCTTTGCTCCGCTCCTGTGCCAACAAAAAACGCACACAATATTTATCACAGTCCCTTGTGGAAAGATTGACGGAATGCATATATAGCATACACACGCATTAAAGCATACAGTAGCCATCCGAAGTGCTAACACAAACAGTCTGTCATTAGAAATGCACTTTATCATGGATGGTAGCAGAAGTCACCAACAGATCAGCAGTTGCCCACGCGATCAATTTTAATCGCACCACCAACATTGCGACGACAGGCATTGCGCCATTTTCTGAATCTACCATTCATACCACCACGTTGGTCACAGTAAAAAAACATTCCAAATGAAATCCGCAGCTCACAGTGTCACACCATGCATTCAACTCAGAAGCTGGGCGACGAATCTGTGCAAAAATGCATCGGCCACCGTCCAGCAGAAGCAAAAAAATTATCTCAGCTCCAAATTGCCCCTGCCTAGCGTCCATTTTGACCGGTCTTAAGGGGGAAAGGCAAGTAGAGAGATGGGCAGATGAAGAGAGGAGAAAGAAGGGAAAGTAACAGAGAGACAGAAGGAGGAAAAAAATGACAGAGAAAAACAGGAGGGAGGGAAATAGAGGGCGGGAGAAGGGACAGGCAGAGAGGGAGATGCAAGCAGAGTGAAGTAGACAGAAAAATGGGAGAGCCAAAGGGGCAGTATACAGAGGCAAACAGAAGATCAGTATAGAGAGGCAAACAGAGGGTCAGTATAGAGAGGTATACAGAGGATCAGTATAGAGAGGCAAAAACAGAGGATCAGTATAGAGAGGCAGAGGATCAGTATAGAGAGGCAGAGGATCAGTATAGAGAGGCAAACAGAGGATCAGTATAGAGAGGCAAACAGAGGATCAGTATAGAAAAGCAAACAGAGGATCAGTATAGAGAAGCAAACAGAGGGTCAGTATATAGAAGCAAACAGAGGATCAGTATAGAGAGGCAAACAGAGAGTCAGTATACAGAGGCAAACAGAGCATCAGTATAGAGAAGCAAACAGAGGATCAGTATAGAGAGGCAAACAGAGGATCAGTATAGAGAGGCAAACAGAGGATCAGTATAGAGAGGCAAACAGAGGATCAGTATAGAGAAGCAAACAGAGGGTCAGTATAGAGAAGCAAACAGAGGATCAGTATAGAGAAGCAAACAGAGGATCAGTATAGAGAAGCAAACAGAGGATCAGTATAGAGAAGCAAACAGAGGATCAGTATAGAGAGGCAAACAGAGGATCAGTATAGAGAAGCAAACAGAGGATCAGTATAGAGAAGCAAACAGAGGGTCAGTATAGAGAAGCAAACAGAGGATCAGTATAGAGAGGCAAACAGAGGATCAGTATAGAGAAGCAAACAGAGGATCAGTATAGAGAAGCAAACAGAGGATCAGTATAGAGAGGCAAACAGAGGATCAGTATAGAGAGACAGAGGATCAGTATAGAGAGGCAAACAGAGGATCAGTATAGAGAGGCAAACAGAGGATCTGTATAGAGAAGCAAACAGAGGGTCTGTGTAGAGAGGCAAACAGAGGATCAGTATAGAGAGACAGAGGATCAGTATAGAGAGACAAACAGAGGATCAGTATAGAGAGGCAAACAGAGGATCAGCAGACAGCGAAGAGTTCCGATACTAATGGTGCCAGTAGCTTTCTGATTAAACGTCCCTCTTGCCTTTCCTCTGAGCCTCAAGCTTCTGCCAGAACCTCTCGTCACCCCCAACTGCATCAATCTCAACAGACTGTGGTGATCCATCTGCTCCTCCGAATTGTACATGCTCTCCCACAAGGCACTAACCACGTCTGCCCTATCATGTATCAGTATTCCACCAAGGTGTGCAGAGCCAGCCAGTCTGTCCGCCTGTTCATTTCCATACACACCGGCGTCACCCGGCGAAAAAAATCCAGACAATACTCGTGTCCTCCGCAGCGAAGCATGCCACTCTGCACGAAGCATACCTGTTCTGATCTTCCTCAGCATGCTTTCTGAATCAGTCACAATTACAATGTGTGTGTGTGTCGTGTTCTCTAGCCAGCGGAAAGCTGCAGTGACGGCCTCCACTTTCATTCTTAAGCTGGATGTTGTGGTATCATATGCTAGGCTCTCCTGCACCAAACGTCGACCATTAACTTTTGCTAAGAAGCCCTAAGCACTTCTGTTGCCTCTTGACACTGAACCGTCTGTGTAAATGATCAAATCCTCCGAGCGAGCATTATCTTGAATTAATTGCTGAATTTCCATCTCCGTGGCACCTGCTGACCTGTCTCTGCATTCCGGCTCAGTGTGATTATGACTCTACACAAGTCTGACTGCTCAGGTGGCACTTTGATCCACTCCTCTCCTCACCTAATGTTCTCAAGGATGCAAACCTGTTTGATTGTGTCTTCTGCCTGAGCCATCCATGACCTCCCTCTTATCAGCCGCTGACCCTTAACTGCACCCACAGCTTCATGCAGAGGGTGGTCTGTGTCTGCAGCTACCCTGAGATATGACTTCGCCTGCAGCACCTTGTGCCTTCCTGTAACCGTCGGCAAACCAAGGATGTATCGCATACACACCACTGGGGTGTCTCTGGTGCAACCCAGAATGACCCGCATAGCCACGTTCTGTATGCGCTCTAGTTTGTCCATCTGACTTTGAGACGGTAAGCAGTCCCAGGCCATAATCCACCACTGACAGGATCAGGTGCTGATATAGTGTGAAAAGCATTCTCTGCTCTATGTCAATTGCAGCCATAGTCTTAAGTGCACTAAGTCCTTTTTGGCATCTCGTCACAACTCTCTCCACATGGTCCTTAAATGACAGGCTCCTGTCAAATGTAATTCCTAGATACTTCAGTGTGCTCTCTCTGTTGACGTCTCTACCATGTATCGTGAGACTTGGGACATTAGTTTTAACGATTCTGTGGTCCAGAGAACACCACAAAACAGACACCTTTTCCGGGTGGACGACAGCCCTCATTTCTGCATACCACTCAGTCACTTTGTCTACTGTCGCTTGTAGCTCCCGAGCTGTTTGTTCCCTCTCTTCCCCCTGCCTATATGCAAGTATATCATCCGCAAAAGTCAGTATCCTTCCAACTCCTGGTGCTTCTAGGCTTGCAATCTTGCTCGTATACACGTTGAAGAGCACAGGCGAGATGGCGGATCCCTGTGGCAGTCCTGTGGCAGTCGGAGAGCAACCCGACGTGAATACAGGACAGCTGCAACCCAGTTCACCAGCCATGGACTGACCTACTTCTCCCTCAGTGCAGTCATTAAGATGTCATATCTCACTCTGTTATAGGCATCCTCTAGATCCAGTCCTACCGCCATAGTTTCCTGTCTGTTCTGGAACCCTTCATAGACGTCAAAAGCAAAAGTAGCCGCATTTGCCCAAGGGTCCTTTCCTGGTCTGTAACTTCCCAGACCTCTTGGGAGAAGCTTTCCCCTTTCCAAAAATTCTTGTAACTTTACAGCAACTATCTTCTCCAAGACCTTCCCAAATGTGTTTTGTAAGGTGATGATTCTAAAGCCACTAAGCTTTGAATGATCATTAAAAGGTTTTGGTAGTGGGATTAGATAGCTGTGCACCCAATCTTGTGGTACTGATGGTGTCTTAATACTCTGGTTAAAACAGTCGGCCATCTCTGCCAGGTCTACATCGCTCAAAGCCTTCATGTGACCATACCTGACTCCATCAGGCCCTGGTGCAGTGTCTTTTGCTTTTTTCAAAATTTGTTTGATATCTTCGACTTGAATCATGTCTTCATAATGCATATTCTTCAAGGTGCCAGCTAACTCCTTTCTAACTGCATCCATGATGTCTACATCATTATGATCTGTCTGAGCTATAAACCTATGGAGAAAAGCCTCCCCTTTCTCCTTGTCTGTTGTCACACGCACACCATCGTCTCTACAAATTGTTCCGACTCTCATAGGCCGATCTTTTCTTTGCATCTGCCTTTGCAGTTTCCAGAATTTCCCCAATGTTTTATCACCTCCCATATTATTCACAAAAGTTTCCCACTTTGCTCTTTTGGCCTTTCCAGCACAGCGCTTGAAAACCTCCACCTTATCTCTTTTCACATTCTCCACCATCTCCACTTCCTCTCATGAGCTTGAGGGTGTCTGTCGTACTTTCTTTAGTTGCTTCACTGCGGCTCTCTTTGC